GTGACCTCTTATTTTCAGAAAGTAAAATATTGGATCTAAGGCAGTTGTATTTCTATTGTGTAGCTCAAAAATTTCACTTCAAGTGTAAAAACAATAATGTACCTAACCACGATTACAATATACGTAATAAAAATTTACATGTTCTTCCACAATTAAGTAAATCTTTAAGTCAGAGATCCTTTGCTTATCTAGCACCCAAAATTTATAATCAATTTCCTGAAAGAATAAAAATAATTAGTAATAAAATAAAATATAAAAAAGAAGTTAAAAAACTCATGTATGAAATTCCTAGGAAACAAATTAATGAACTTATAGAATCAAAACTATCAAAAGTACTCACCTTAAATTTGCTATAGTTTTTTTTTATTGTATTCGACGTATCACCTTATATTTATCCCTTCCTTCATTTTTATTTCTATCTGCTATTTATGTATAATATTTTCTATTTAATTAAGAACTATGTCTTTTGCAGTTAGACTATCGTAGCTTATTACCGTTAGTTCTATTTCCTTTTTCTTAATTATTATTTTTCTCGAAACAAGTGGGTAACCACTTATCGAGTACCTTTATTCAATAACAAAGTGTATTTCATTAATGTAATTAATTTTGATTAATTGAATAAATTATTATTATTATTATTACCTATGTAACTTTGTAACTCATAAAAAGGTACACATCAATTTTTTTTTTTTTTTTCATATTTCAGTATTTGCAGTAGAGGTGGGAAGTTCGAATCTTTTTACTGAATTAATTCATTTGATTCATTCACCTAAAAAGATTCGTTCTTAAGGCGGCGTTAGCAAATGTATTAGCATAGGAGAATTTTTCAACATATAAGACGGGCTTTCTAGACAATGAATTTATGCGGATTTGCTTTTATAATATTCTAATAGTATTGAACTAGTTCCTGAATATATTTTAAAGTGGAAAAAAATTGAGAGAATGAAGAAAATAACGAATTTGTGAAAATTTTACATGTAAAAAGTCATCATAAATCGCTATAAAAACTATTTCAGGAACTAGAATATATTCCCATTAGAGGCTCCGCATAAGAAATATTTCATTTTTTGCTTTCATTTTCCAGTCTTATATGCACAAAATTTTTTAATTTTAACCCAAAAAACGCAACCAACATTACATAAAACAGGTGTAATCCCTGTAATTTTAGGTTCAGGCAATCTTATATAGATGACGCCACCTGAAAATATCAAATTTATATCGAGCAACGTTGTCATATTGTTATGAAGTATCGGAAGCAAGGAAGTTCGTTATTTTATTACAAAAATTAGGTTTTGGAGAAACATTTAAAACGTGTAGAGATTTTGTAAAATGTTTCATTTTTATATTACAAAATATAAGAACGTAATTTGTCAGATATTAAATATAATGTTGAGTTTTGTTTTTTCTGGCTGGATTTACGTGAAAATTGGAACAAGATGCATGTGAAAACATCGATCCTGGCCTTTCAAATGCATTTGTGGGTTCACAAATTAGTTGAGAAGAGTTAAAAGTAAGAGCAAACTTTTAAGCCAATTTATATTCTTAAAATCAACTGAAAAAGTACTTAAAATATTTATTGAAAATACAATAAATTTATCACACTGATTATTGCAGCATAGTTTAAATTTTATTATTATTATTATTATTATTATTATTAATCTCTTCTGTATTTTTGTTTACATTGTATGTTTTTTTTCGACATCGATTTTTTGACGGATTTTTACATTTTGGGGACCCCATGAATCCGTTTTGACTATTTTCGCGATGCTGTCTGTGTGTGTGTCTGTATACTCGATAACTCATGAACGGATAAACAGAAAAATACAAAATTTTAAAATTAAGTCTTATTCCGGCCTGCGGTAAACTGATTAGATTTTGAGCACAGTTGGCACTTGGGGGTACTTTATAGGGGGTCATTTTTATATTTTATGGAATATATTTGTTATTTACGGTTGTAGAAGAAAATTCTTTGAATAAAAGTTAATTTAAATAATATTTCTACAATTTTTGTTATATACAAAATTTTGCTAAAATGGTTCGTATTCCAGAAATTTGACAAAATGTAAAAAATTCAAATTTTTATGAAAATTATTTATATAAAAGTTGTTTGTGATACAATTTTCTATAATTCTTGTCTTATACATAATTTCTCTAAAGTGGACCGAATTCGAGATATTTGATAATTAGTGTAAATTTAGAATTTTGAAGAAAACTCGAAAGCGGATAAAGAAAAAACATTATTTGTTAAATTGAAGCGTTATTCCGACCTGTGGTGAATTGATTAGATTTTGGACAAAGTCGGAACATCTGGGGACGGGGTTACTTTATGGGAGGTCGTTTTATATTTTATTGAATATATCTGTTATTTATGTTTGGCGAAGAAAATTCTTTAAATAAAAGTTACTTTTAATATTATTCTCTATAATTCTCACTTTTTACAATTTTTTCCATAAATGGACCGTATTCGAGAAATTTGATAAAAGGTGCAAATTCTGATTTTTAAGAAAATTGGTAAACTAAAAGTTGTTTGCAATATCGATCTCTATCATTTTTGTTTTTTACATTATTTCTCTAAAATGGACCGTAATAGAAAAACTGGAGGAAAAGTGTAAAATTAAATTTTTTCAGTGTTTCCATTTGCAGTGAATATATATCGAAAAATGTTTCGAGTTAGATGTATGTAAATGTATATATTTAGTTTATCCTTTAAACATTTACAGAGTTGCTGCAATAGGTTGTACAAAATAATCGGGAAAGCCTGTAATAACTAGATAGGAAAGTCATGTGTCACATCAGATTTTTTCGTAAATGGTTAATTTAAGGTCAATAAAATGAATTATTACTATTACTTATTATTGACCGTCTTCACCGTCGTCAAACATGTTTTGCTTACAACTGTCAACAGTATCAATCGCTTCACTGCTTTTTAAATCATGATGGATAAATAATGGAGCGAATAGATTATGCTTTTATCCTTAAGGCCTACTTAAGCATAAAAGCATAATCTATTTGCGCCACCACAAACAAGAACAAAATGAAATTTAATAAACAAACTCAGTTGATCAACTGCTGGGTAACGTGTAATTACCTATAAAAACACTAAAAAAACACAAAACAAAACAATAACTAACAAATAAGCTCAGACTGGATGAACAAAGAACTACTTAATAATATACGAACCAAAATAGATTCAAATGTTTATATTACATTGTCCTAAAAGTTTTATTCTGGTTCATAATAGTATATTATTAAACGAGCAATTTATGGTAGCCATTATTCACGCAGGATGACGTTTGCGTCCCGAGCCGTAGGCGAGGGGCGCAAGTCGCCCGAGTGAACAATGGCCATAAATTGCGAGTCTAATACTATACTTTGTCCACGACCTTTATGGTTTCTTTATTAAATAAAAGTTAAGTGTAGAATGGAAAGTTTTTATTAAACATAGATAACTAACTGTTGTTTTTTCCACTTTTCGATCTAGAAAATATCGTTATGAAAAGTATCGCCTATCTTTAGTTATCTACCGGAATGTGCCAGAACTACAAAAGCGTGAATTATCATAATTCACTCCGTGATATATGGGTACTATATGTTTTTAGTTAGGAGGTAGAATATTGATTTATTATTAAGTGGTCGTGGACAAAATTATTTAAATACGGTCCAGGTTCGATATTCTAATGTTATAGTGTTTGTCTCGTCCGGCGGTACAATAAAATGTTACGAGCACTTTAGATTTGGGAGGGAGGGGACGCTTGTCGGGTCGCCGGAAAGTAGTTTACACAACTTGGCAAACAGGCAGGTATAATTCAACATTTGAATTATTTCGCAGAAGTGCATCTAATCGCCATCTATTGACAACTTAGTTTAATTTGTAGTTTTTGTTATGAATTTCCTGGCGTGCAAATTCCGTCTTAAAGATTCGTTCTCAAGTGATTCACTTTAGCGAACCACGAACGATGTTATTCCGCCGATCCGTCGAAAGAAATCAAACCGAACGTTTACGAATTTGAGAACTACCTATTTACTAGGTCGTCGAGTACGTTCAGTCTGTAATGCGTAAGAAAGAATGTAATGATTTGAGTGGTAAGATGCTTAAGTAAAATAATTAATACCGGTTTTATTTTAATTTGATATTTTAAAGTATAGCGAATTAATATTTCATAAAAAGAAGACAGATGGGAATTTAAATACTATAATAGTAGGTTCATCCTTGTCCGTTAAGATAAACAACAGTAACACAATTTTTTTTAATGCTAAATATGGCCAAAACTAACGAAAAATTATAGATATATGATTCGTCATTTATTGCTTTACTTATTTACTTTGATTTAAATTTATTTATCAGACAACGCGCATAAATTGTTTACCTAAGTTTAATACACCTCTGGTAAAGTGAGAAAAACATTACAGACACATACCGCTACCGCCTGTAAGTTCGAGTTCTTGTATTATGCTGTAGAATGTAGAACAAAAGCGACCGATTTGCCGATGCTGATTTAAAATACCGAATCTTCGAATCAGATCCGAATGAACGAAACAACCAAACTCGGAATTGGGCGTTCTTGATCGATCACAGAGCCGTCGAACAATTGACTCAAAAAAGATTCGAATCTTTTAAAAACAGGGAATTAATTCATTCGAGTCAGTGCACTGATTCGTTCTTTTTGAACGAATCGTTCGCGAACGACACACCTCTAATTTGCAGTAATTAATTTTGGCATATTTGTATTATCAACAGCAAAAAATATATGCGACAACCGCTTTAATATGGAGTGAATCGCAAAAAAAATGTTTCTACATCAGAGACGGACATGACTCATATCTTTGTCGGTGATAGCCTATTTTAGAAACTTTTTTGTGGATCACTCTTTATTTTGAGTTAGTTTTTATCCAAGCTCTGTATCTGGTTTCGGTTTTTCTTTTGATCATCTTTTTGTCAGTTCATCAGATTTTCCGCTGCCCTCAATTTCCAGATTAACAGACACCCAAATTAGATCTTCCCAAAGAACACCCTTGTATGTATTATCACAAAAAAATAAAACAAATATAATTAATGTTTTTATTATTTCAACATTACATTATTCATCATACGAAGACACCAAATCAAAATAAGATTTATCACAGTTCTCAACATTTTATTAAAATGCAACCGTATGAGCAATTCTTATAAAAAAAAACTCGACCACATAAAAATCCTAATGTACAAACTATACACGAATTTAATCCTAATCTATTGATCTGTCAAGTGTATGTGATTCTAAAATTTTGTGCGCAGTTGGTAAATTCGAAGAGGCACTTTTAAGTTTCAGTCACATGTACTAGATTAAAAAAAAAAGATAATTATTATTTAGAGTTGTAATTTTATTGAAGAAACAGAATTACCGAGATTCCAAAATATTATTTTTAAATTCAATATGTTCAATAAAAGAAATAAGAGCACGCTTAATTATACAATTGAAAATAAATGGTATAAACGGAAGCAGATCATAAATATGCAGAACATTTATGTATGAAAACTGATATATTGAATCTTCGTTTTTTTTTGTAGTAACGATTTTTTATCGACAAAATTATCCTGAAAATTTTAGTATTCCTGTTAAAATTTGCATATTTTTGTTTGTGTTTGGAAATGATCATATTAGTCGACCAGCATTCAATTAAAAATATTAAAATGAAAACTTTTTATAAAATATTTCCAACTCGCTCATCTAATTTAAACCACATTGATTTAAAACAAAATGTATTAAAAAAAAACGTTGTTAGACAATACAGAATATAATATTTGTTATTATTAATTTTTAACTAGTTGTGCTTTCTTCTAAGGAACATTCGTCTAAAATACTTAGTAAATAAATTATTGTCTCCGTTGTGTAGCACCTTTCGATATTTGATCTAAAACCCATTAAAAAAGATCTATTTCACCGTTTGCTATTAAAGCTAGAAATACTAAAACATTTTTAGCTCCAAAAGTAGAATGTTTTAGTTTCTTTCAAATTTATATTAGTCTCATATACACTTGGATAAAAAAAAACTATATTAAAAAAAATAAGTCTACAAATTCATTTCTATCGGAACTTTTGCACCCTATGGTATAGAGCCTTAACGAATTCAGAACCGTCTTGAGATTCTTTAAGATAATACAATCTCAATTTTTTCTCTGAATGGCACTCGATGATACCCCAATGTTGATAAAGTTTCAGGGCATTTTTTATTGTGTCCACAGATACACTTTCACCTGAAACAAAACATAAACTATAATTTGTAACTAATGAGTATTGAATAGTGATGGGTCGCTTGGAAATGTCCACAGGAGAAGTATGAAAAGTAAATTTATTTAAATAATTAGGTTGAATTTCTTAAAGTTAGAATCGAAACAGCTCTAATAATGCTCACAAGTAACCCAGATAATAAAAAATAAAGCGCTCAATATATCTGATGTATATACTGTAAAAGCTTACCGTATTCAACTCCTCCAGAAGACAATTGAGATTGTATTTCCGCCAGTATATCATTTATTAACTCGCTTTCGAGCAGCTGTCTTCCCACCAATTTGTCTAAAGTGAATGCCGTTACCGCATACGTTTCTATCAAGGGAGTTACGGCCACCCTCAAATATTTCAGTGTATCGACGGCTTCTTTGTTAGGATTTACTTTGTATATCTTCTGCGGCACTTTTTCTTCAAAGTTTTCATCGTCTTCGTCCTCGAGCTGTCTTGCTAATCTTCGACTTCGACTATTTAGTTCTGTGTCTTGTTCGTCATTCTGTAAAATAGGAATTGAAATCAAGTCGAATAACAACGTTAAAATATTAATTTTCATAATAATTTTCCCAAAAACTTAAATTTGCATATTTAAGGAATCTAATTAGAATAACAACCCGCATGAGGACAAGAAGAATGATGCGCACAAAGACTGAAAGGAAACAAAAAATATATACAAATTCAAACGTACTAACTTCTTTTTAGTTACTTTAAGGACCTAGGACTTGCTTTAGAACGGGGATTTTCAAAATGGTCGATGCCGACCCCTTGGGGTTGAAATCGGTTTTCCAGGGGTCGGCATAAACAAAAACTGATTTTGGGAGTCCAACCCTATTAATTAACACAAGTTCATATTTAAAACTTTCAAGATAAATTTGACGCATATACGCGTTTTAACACGAACCAAATCATGATCAAGTTCAAGTCCAAACATGCTCCTGATATTTTACTATATAACAAGCTTGCACTTAGGCTGAAAGTTCATTTGCATTTTGAAATTCGTTGGAGCTTGAATGATAATAACATCATCTACTAATTTATTTCAAGAGATTACAAAGTGATTACCTAGTTAAATAAAGTGATTGAAAAATAATTTACAAAGTGTTGGCGGCCTGTGATCTTTTCAGAAAGACAGACTACCATTTAGGTGAGGTGGCCGACACTAACGTACTAGTGCGCCTCTAAAGGCCACCCAGAACTTCGCTGGGGCCTCCATTAATTACTCGTGGGACGAAACAAATAAAAAACTCACTCTTCCTCTATGCGTATTTATTCACGCTTAAACGATGGTGCCATGCAGGCAAAACAAATGGGTTACATATTATAATGGCAAACTGCCGAAGAACTATAAACACTTAACTTAAAACTACAATTTTAACAAACATGGTTATAAGATAAAACAATTTTTCTTTTTTTTTTTTACATCTTGTCGATGGAGAGTCTGCAGACTAACTCCTGTGTCTCTTTACAAAAACTTAGAGCGCACTTCCGTGATGTGGAAATGGTTAGCTTACGTCATGTATTTTATTTCTGATTGGTTACACATTTATTAATTTTATTTCGTGAGGCGTGGCTTCGCTAGTGAGATTGTTAGAGGTGTGACTTTATTTTTATGTGTAAAGGTGGTGTTATGTATGAGATAATTGTTGTGTTGTCGCATGCTGCGTGAGTGTTCAAATGTAATTTGAACATATTGCCACCTCCAGGAGGATGACAAGGTCAAAACAATGTAAAAAAAATATATGTTTAGATAAGAGAGCGTAAAAGGGTATAATGACCCAGACGTGTCTTATTTAAAGAAACATCCTGTATAAAAATTGAATTATGAATGCGTGAATGGGTTAGGAGTGTCTTATTATAAAGAATCACCCTGTATAAATAAATTGTGAATGAGTGATTGGCGTAGGAGTGTCATCATAAAGAAGCACCCTATGAGTAAAAGTGATTGGGGTATGGTGACCCTGAGTGACTTATCATAAAGAAACACTCTGTGAATAAATTGAAAATGTGATTAGGGTATTGTGACCCTGAGTGACTTATCATAAAGAAACACTCTGTGAATAAATTGAAAATGTGATTAGGGTATTGTGACCCTGAGTGACTTATCATAAAGAAACACTCTGTGAATAAATTGAAAATGTGATTAGGGTATTGTGACCCTGAGTGACTTATCATAAAGAAACACTCTGTGAATAAATTGAAAATGTGATTAGGGTATTGTGACCCTGAGTGACTTATCATAAAGAAACACTCTGTGAATAAATTGAAAATGTGATTAGGGTATTGTGACCCTGAGTGACTTATCATAAAGAAACACTCTGTGAATAAATTGAAAATGTGATTAGGGTATTGTGACCCTGAGTGACTTATCATAAAGAAACACTCTGTGAATAAATTGAAAATGTGATTAGGGTATTGTGACCCTGAGTGACTTATCATAAAGAAACACTCTGTGAATAAATTGAAAATGTGATTTACCATTTAAAGGGTAATCTTCAACCATAGATAAAAATATAGAAAAACGTGAAAACATTAAGAAATATGCACCTTTGCACCAGTCTAGACCAGCTGGCGGTAACGTCCCTCATCAGTCCCTAGCCCTATCTCTGTGACTCGAGTGCTTTGGTAAAATTTCCTTGTTTTACTTTTCCTAAAGAAATGAGTATGTATCATTGAAGGTGAGTGAGAAATATAAAATACATTATGTTTAAAAAATAAATAATATACAATATTTGTAAAATAATATGTGCACTGTGCACAGCTGAATCATCTATACGTGATTCTATGCCATCGGCATCTTCTTACAGCCAACTACTTGTTAGACTTAAGGTTTAAAATCCCTGGAACTCGAGGATGCTAAACATCCGAGACTCCTTAAAAAAAATATATATATCCCCAGTAGCCCCCGGGTTCGACTACTAAAATTGAGCGTACTTAGTCCGTACTGTTATAAAATCAAAACGCGTTTTTGAGAGAAATATTTTTTTTTTTTTAAGTACAGTCCAAAAACGACGTGCCCTGAACTTCAGAGATAGGTATCAAGACCAAGTACTGAAGGCAGGGGTGAACTTCCACCAATAGCATTAATTGGTGTTGGTTCTGGTGGCATCTGCGGTCAGCAGAACGCCGTGGTGAGTACGGACATTACAGAAGAAGAAAAGGATAGTGACTCTACATGCGGTTATATGCTTATATTAAAAAAAAAGGAAAGGTAAAAAAGACAGTGAATGAGTAATCCTCTACTGCGAGCAGGACCTCTGAGACGTCTGATCATCTGAATCTAGATCGTCTGTAATGAATTTAACTATCTTAGAGATGGGTCTTACGAAAACTTTGCCCTTTGTTAAAATTTTGATGGATCGGACTTTCCCGTCCGTACCTGGGAATGTTTCTAAAACTCTTGCCAGCGGCCATATAAGAGGCGGAGTATCAGTGTCCTTCAGCAACACGATATCACCAACCTTGAGGTTGTCGTGAGGAGTTAACCATTTTGGTCTATTTTGTAACCTGTTTAAATAATCTTTTGACCATTTTTTCCAAAATATTTGTTGTACTTGGGTGCACTTTTGCCAAAACGAGAGTCTGTTTGTCTTAAGAGCGGAAATATCTTTTTCTGGAAAAGCTAAAAGTGAGGTACCTATCAAAAAATGCCCTGGCGTCAGTGGCTGATCATCTGACGGGTCGTTTGACATTGAATAAAGTGGTCTTGAGTTTAGAATTGCTTCAATTTGGCTTAAAATAGTGGTGAATTGTTCAAAAGTGAAAGATGAGTTGCCTATTATTCTAATTAAATGATATTTGGTACTTTTTATTGCTGCTTCCCAAATGCCTCCCCAATGGGGTGCCCTGGGCGGAATGAATTTCCACTGAATTTCTTTGGTTGACAAGTAGTTGAAGATTGAATGGGAATTAGAAGATTTTTTGAAAAAGTCATGTAGTTCTTTTAATTGATTTTTTGCACCTAGAAAATTGGTCGCATTATCACTATAGATGATAGAGGGGTTTCCTCTTCTAGAAATAAAACGTTTGAAAGTGGCTAAAAATGCCTCTGTGGACAGACTTGATACGGGTTCTATATGAATTGCTTTCGTAACCATGCAGACAAAAATGGCTATGTAGCATTTTGAACTTGGAGCTTTTCTTAAAGTTGAAGTTTTCATTAAAAAGGGACCGCCAAAGTCTACACCGACTTTTTGAAATGGCCTGGACATGACCACCCTATCGTAGGGTAGGTCAGCCATGATTTGTTGCGCCGCTTGGGCCTTGAATCTGTGACAAATTGTGCATTTTAAATTGATTTGTTTAATTTCGCGAAGTGCATTTAAAGGCCAGTATCGTAATCTAATATTTGATAAAATGTTTTGTGGACCACCGTGTCCTAGACGAATGTGTTCTAACGTGAGGAGAAGTTTCACTACGTGACATTTTGAAGGCAAAAGTATGGGATATTTTTGTTCAAATGGAATTTGTGCATTAGACAATCGACCCCCCACTCGAAGTAGACTGTCAGAATGTAAGAATGGCTTTAACGCTAACATTTGTTTATCTGTTATTGGCAGGTTGGATTGAATTGAAGTTATTTCCTTTGAAAAATATTTTTGTTGAATTGTTTTTAGAATAAAATGTAATGCAATATCTAATTCGATTATTTGTAATGGACTCCCTATTTTAAGGTTTTTATTTAAAGTGTTATTTTTAAATCGAAATATGTACGCCATTGTGCGTTGAAGTTTGGTGAAGCTAGAAAATCGTGTAAAAATTTGAATCCAATAATCTGCTGTGTCGTCTTTTTTAGATTTGATGATATTAGAGAGTAAAGAAACTGTTTTCCCTTCAGGGGGTGAAATGACCATTTGAAAAGTGTCAAAATCATTTAAATTTGTTAAATTATTTTTTAAAAATTCGGGCCCTGTAAACCAAAATTCCAAAACGTCGTCTCTAAACGTACCTCTGGAAATCAAATCAGCAGGGTTCTGTCCCGATTTAATGTGACGCCACTGGGCGTCTAAAGAAATTTCCTGAATTTGTGATACCCTGTTGCTGACATACACAGACCAACGCGAGGGATGACTCTTTACCCAAGACAAGGCTATTTGTGAGTCAGACCATAAATTAATTGAAGTTATATTCATTTTATTTTGTAAAATTTTAAAAATTTTTGAAGTTAAGTTGGACAACAAAAGCATTGCACAAAGTTCAAGTTTGGGAATGGTGATCATTTTTCTAAGTGGTGCTACCCTGGATTTGGCAGCTATTAAATTGCAAGAAATTAATTTATTTTTATAAATTACTCTGAGATATAAATTGCAGCCGTACGCCACTGAGCTGGCGTCGGCGAATCCATGTAATTCTATTGCGTCATATTCGACGTCTGTGAAAATCCACCTAGGAATTGATATGTTTTTTAATTTGTAAATACTTGAGATGAAATTTTGCCATTCGTTTAAAAGTGATACATCTGTGATTACCTGATCCCATTGTTGATCAAGTTTCCAAAGTTTT